TCTCTCTCAAACTTATTTATTAAGGGTTAGGGTTACTTATGTATATATTTTGATTCATATTTAGTTAAATATGTTAGATCTACAATGTTTTTATATAGTTTTTGATAATATGATTCGTTTATAGGGAGGATTACATGTTTTACATCATAAATCGCATGTTCTTAATATAAAAAAAAACCCTAGATATTGATTATTGTCAACTAGAATACTTTCTTGTATGATCTCTTACGTGTTTTGATTAAATTATTCTTATGTTTTGAGAATTGTGAGATTTTGAATGTTGGAAAACGTGGATTTTTATAAAAGTATATTTATATCGTAGAGTGTTTAAACATATTTTTTTACCTTGAGGGATTCGAAAGTTTCCTATCACTCGTAGTGAAGTTGGTTCTTTACGGGGTTCCAAACTAGTATTTGTTCCATAGGAGACCGAGGCCAGGGGGTTGGTATAACATAATCCTAAGAATGATTCGTTACTATTGATGCATCAGTATATGCCCTTTTTGGAACTGTGGGACCCTGTGGGGTATTATTTTTGAGAATGTGAAGTTTTGTGGGTTAGGTACGCTTGTTATGTAGATTCTTGTTTATGTAGCATGTGAATATGAAATATGATTTTATGAATGACTCAATGTTGATCAAAATTTTAACGTTCCTATTGCATAAACTTGAAATCATTCACTGACACTATGACTTACCTATTTTATTGATTTTCTAAATCTTGTATGGGTTTGAGAATATTTTTTACTGCGCTTATTTGCTCATCCTACAATATATACGTTTTTCAGTGTTTGACTTTGAGTGCAGTTGGGAGATTATTATTCTGATTTTGAATGCAATCTAAACGAGATTATATATTTATTTGAGAATTTATCTAGTTAGATATTGAATATTAAATAATTTAATTTATTTAATGATACTTTAATTTGCTTTTATAATTTTGATGGTTCATAGTTAGTTAATGTTTTCAATGTGAAAATTAGAACGCTACAATTTAACATCAAATATATCGTGAATATATGAAATATAAGGCCTATTTTATAAATGTGGCATAAAGTCCATCTTTTTATTCTTCTCCTGTTAGGTCGGCCCTGCAATCAAACCCAAATCCACTCTAAAACAATTTTGATACTACATTCATATTTTTTACGGATATCATAGGCTTGTCCAAAAAAAATGGGCGAAATAGGCTTATTGTGATGGAGAACACTACACTAAAAAATATATATATATCGGTACTATACCGCCAAGTTGTGCAAGTTTTGTGGGTATACAGTTTTTTGCGTTTGTTTATACCAAAAAATATTTCCTAAGGTAACCACAAAAAATTGTAAATGAGCTTCAAAAATTATAAATGACCCTTGAAAGTTGTAAATAATTCCCAAAAGTTATAAATAATCCTCAAAATCAACCCCTCCCCCCTCAATAAAACTTGTTCAATTGCTAGGCTCGTGTCATGTCATATTCAAAATCCCTATACATTACAATTAGGCTAGATAATTGTGTCAAGTTAAATGAGTTTGTGTTAAAAATCACTCAACACTTACATAATTCATATATAGAATGGATGAAAATTATAAAATTGAACACACCTTATTTATTAAACATGTTAGCATTTCTAATCCTTACCCTTTTTTAAATCTAAATTTAAATTTGGGTAAAAAACTTCTATAAATCTTCTTCAATGTTGCACTCATACTCATATCAAATAGAGGTAGATTTATTTTTTTCACTCAAATTAAGAGAAACTCAAATTCATACTCAAATCTTTAATAATTAGATTTCATCCTCCTTTAAAATCCAATTGTTATATTTTTACTAGGGGATGACAGTGGATTAAAGCTAGGGGCGGGGAGTGTAGTTTTCATCCCTGTATCTGTTTAAAAAACTCCGTCCATTCCCGGTCCACTCTCGTTAATGGGTATAGTTTTAATTTTCATCCCTTTTCGCGGGTAAATTTGTAATCCTTGTCTCTAACCTGTCCCTCGTCCTCACCCTCGTCCCAGCCCCCGTCCACCTTACCCGCCCCCTGCCCAAGCCCAAGTCCAAACCCACATAATTTAAAATTCTAAATAAATCTAACATTCTAAATAATCTAATATAATTATAGAATATCATAATATAATTAAAAGTTTGTCATCTACAACATAATCTAACATAATATAATTAAAACATTGTCTACAACATAATCTAATATAATATAATTTAAAGCTTATCTTCCATGTAAATTCAACACAACATAATATAACATAACATAATCCAACATGAAAATACAAAGATCTATACTTTTACAAACAAAAAATATGAAAAAAAATCAACAACAAAACAANAAAATTGTAAATGAGCTTCAAAAATTATAAATGACCCTTGAAAGTTGTAAATAATTCCCAAAAGTTATAAATAATCCTCAAAATCAACCCCTCCCCCCTCAATAAAACTTGTTCAATTGCTAGGCTCGTGTCATGTCATATTCAAAATCCCTATACATTACAATTAGGCTAGATAATTGTGTCAAGTTAAATGAGTTTGTGTTAAAAATCACTCAACACTTACATAATTCATATATAGAATGGATGAAAATTATAAAATTGAACACACCTTATTTATTAAACATGTTAGCATTTCTAATCCTTACCCTTTTTTAAATCTAAATTTAAATTTGGGTAAAAAACTTCTATAAATCTTCTTCAATGTTGCACTCATACTCATATCAAATAGAGGTAGATTTATTTTTTTCACTCAAATTAAGAGAAACTCAAATTCATACTCAAATCTTTAATAATTAGATTTCATCCTCCTTTAAAATCCAATTGTTATATTTTTACTAGGGGATGACAGTGGATTAAAGCTAGGGGCGGGGAGTGTAGTTTTCATCCCTGTATCTGTTTAAAAAACTCCGTCCATTCCCGGTCCACTCTCGTTAATGGGTATAGTTTTAATTTTCATCCCTTTTCGCGGGTAAATTTGTAATCCTTGTCTCTAACCTGTCCCTCGTCCTCACCCTCGTCCCAGCCCCCGTCCACCTTACCCGCCCCCTGCCCAAGCCCAAGTCCAAACCCACATAATTTAAAATTCTAAATAAATCTAACATTCTAAATAATCTAATATAATTATAGAATATCATAATATAATTAAAAGTTTGTCATCTACAACATAATCTAACATAATATAATTAAAACATTGTCTACAACATAATCTAATATAATATAATTTAAAGCTTATCTTCCATGTAAATTCAACACAACATAATATAACATAACATAATCCAACATGAAAATACAAAGATCTATACTTTTACAAACAAAAAATATGAAAAAAAATCAACAACAAAACAATTTTCAAAAGAAAAAATAATTTAATAATTTGTAGATTTGTATATATATATATATATAAAATAATGGGTAAAGTGGACGGGGCGGAGTAAGTGTCAGTCCATCCCTACTTTCATTCCTGCACAGATTTATATATGTATTATCATATACGTCCACCGTTCAATACGTATGATCCAGTTTAAACAGAATGAATTTAAACAAATACTCATTTTTACTTGGTCCACTGTCATCCCTAATTTTTACCTTTTTTAAATTTAGAGTTGTTCTCGTTTAAATTTAAATTTCTCTTCTTTAAATTTGAATTTCTCCGTAACATATATTACTCGTTAAAAAAACAAATGATAGATAACATTTCACGCCAAAAATCTTTCGGACTCCGCACTACTAACCTGTTTGAGACCCGGTGTGTAACGGTCACACCCCTTCTGTCTAACTGACGTCAAATAAATAAGGAAATAAGATGACATTATCAACAAAATTTAATACAATACCCTAAATACCCTTTTGCATGTCAAAATCTCTATTAAACAAATAAATAAATATTGAAAATACAAGTATACACGTTAGAATGAAGTTAATCTAAATAATTTTTCATACAATTTAATTAGATAATTGCTTATAATTTATCCAACACCACCGCCACAAATTGCGGTGAGTTTCAGAAACCATCCAGACACCAACCGCCACCAAACCATCTCTCTCTCTCCCGCCCTCCTTTAATGCCATTACAACCCAATACTCAGACCCCTAGCTAAACCTACAACCACCCCTCCCAAATATCAGATTCCACAGCAACCCTTTTCGTAAAATTTGTAGCTTCCCCTCAACCCAAGCTCCCAGTCCTGCCTACAGTCACTCCATCCCCCTCTTCCACGTAGTCTAACAACGTCACAACCCTTCCAACATGTGCAACTCTATGCAAAACCCCACGAAGAAGAATGAATCAAACACCTAGCTCACCACCAACCGTAGATTTGAAAACTCCCAGTCTTCGATCATCAATCAATCCTCAACTTTACTCAAGCAAGGAATTAGATCTGGGATCTGATCCTAGGTTCATTGTGTGTAGGTGGTGATTCAATTTCAGATCTACAATTAAACCTAATGTGTGTAGAATCGAATCTGTGGCAGTTTCAAATTAGGAGAGGCAATGATATCGATTGTGGGTGGGTCTCTTTGGCATTGGAGGTGTTGCTTGTTGGATTTGATGTTGTGTTTGGATTTTCGGCGGCGTTGGTAGTAGATATTAGCAACAATGGGGGATGAGTAGGGTGGTGAGGGGTTGGTGCTACGCCGCTGGGTGTTAGTGGTTTTCAGAGAGAGGGAGACACACTTGGGTAATGGGTTTGATTTTTCTAATTTTTAATTAATTAGATGTAGGGTAAGATAGTCTTGGAGGTGTTGGTTGTTGGATACGTTGTTGCGTTTGGATTTTTGACGACATTGGTAATAGATATTAGTAACAGTGGGGTTGGTGCTCCGCCACTAAGTGTTGGGGGTTCTCACACAAAGAAATAGAGACTTGGGTAATGGGTTTGATTTTTTTAATTTTTAAATAATTATATGTAGGGTAAAGTAGTCTTTTTGTTAATAGTTAATACCATTAACAACGTCTATCTATTGGGGGTCTTAGTATAGTTTTTGAAATATGATGGGGTATCCGTGTAATAAAGTCAAATGTCAGGGGTCCAATTGTAATTTATCGTGTAAAATTTATGTGGTTATATGAAGTAACGTTGCTTTGTCAACTCAATTCCCTCCACTGATGTACCGAATACAAATACTGCCGCGAAAACACAACACAAAACCTTCCATTCCCGCCAAAACCAAAGCGAGCACCCCATAAGCCGGAGAACAGCACTTGTACAGAAACACAGCCGACCAAAACCCCCCCAAATCCAGCCCTAGCATGAAGATCCGATCAGTGAAGCTCCGAGAAGCCCACCGGAACAATAACGGCGCGGCCTCATTCTCTTCGATTCTTTGGGACCTCAAAGCCGAGCACATCGTCACTTCTTCGTCTTCCGATTCGTCCATCTGCATTCACGATCCTCTTTTGCCCTCGAATACACCCAAGATTCTTCGGAATCATAGAGATGGTGTCACGGCCTTGGCTCTCAGCCCTAATTCTACCTGTCTTGCTTCTGGATCTATCGATCATTCTGTCAAGCTCTACAAATTCCCTGGTAATTTGTTTAGGTCCTCATATGGAGTCTTTTGTTTGTATCAGATTTTGTCAAATCCTTTTGTTTGGTTGGAAATTGGGGGTTAAGTTGTGTTTTGCTGCTTCTTAATTTCAATGACGATCATAGAGAATTGTTAATGTTTATCTCAAGAATAAACTGAAAATCTAACAATTTGAGATTTTTTGTATCATTTTTTTCTTTAGTGGGAAATGGGGGAATGAGTTGTGTTTTGTTCGTTCTTAATTTTATTGAAAATAATAGGAAATAGATTGAAAATCTGACCTTTAATTTGTTATGGCCCTTTTTGGAATTGACATTCCATAAAATTTACTGTCGATCATCGACTTTTATAGCACTTCTGAAATAAAAAGGATGGGTCATGGGTGGTTAATTTGATTTTAAAATGATTGGTGGGATTCATGTTTCCTTATTTGAATTAGTGGCAATAATATTGGTCAATAACAAATCCTAATGATTTAAAGTGGAAAATGATTTTTCGAGAACAATGCCAGTTTTCATATTTTTGAGTGTCGGCTACACTTAAACTTTAAGCTCATGGTGATAAATATTTTCGTAGTTTTCGTGTTGGCTATAGTATTGTATCAACACACCCAACACTTGCCCCGGGTCTTGTGTATGTTGTGGAGCTTTGTCTTGTTCATGTGACACTGTTCGCCTATGTACATAGAACCAGGCTTTGAAAGCATTTTAAACAGATAGAATTTGGCTCTTTAGTGCTTACAGATGTCTTTAATGTGAATCATGCATAGAGAAGTACAAGTCTCTGATATTATCAGTAGAGACATTTGGAGAAAAGTGTCTAGTGGAACCTCTTGCTTTTCTGTGTAGGTTTTTGTACTTAGTTGTTCAGTGGATGACTGCAATTATGAAAGACTTACAAACTTATGTGGGTATTAAAGCACAATTTGTTTGAGGGTAACAGAATTAATGCCAGTCTAAGGTGCCACCTGGCCTGCTGGTAGAGTTTCGAGGTACTTTGATTAGACCTGGGGTAATATCTACCTGCTTCAATGGCTGAGATTTCTTCAGTTTTCCTTTTCCGAGCAGAGGGGGCTTGGAGCTCTGCCAGTCCAACTCTTTAGCACATTGTTATCTTTCATATTGGTTTGAGTTTTTATTGTTTGCAGACAACCTGTTTCTTGTTTCTGTAACTCCCTTTTAATTTGCATGCTAATTTGCTCCTTGGTAGTTATTATAAAACTTGGGGGTGGCTCGAGACATTTTGGGGCCTAAAGCGAAACCGATAAATGACACTTTTTTATTTTTAGGATTAATTGCAGTGGAGGTCTCCAAAGTATGAAGTTTGTCTCATTTTAGTCCCTAATGTTTCAATTGCATCATTTTGGTTCCTGAAGTATTAAATATGTTTCTATATGATCCCTTAAACAGACAACGTCCAAATTGCTAATAATTTTTTATCATAAACTTGTCAAGTAATACTCAAATATGGACAAAAAAATTATTTAGATAACTCTTGACCAAATTTCTACTCAAATTTTGTTAAATAACTATCTAAATTACACAATTTTGATCATGAGTTATCCAAATTTTGGTCAAAAACTATCCATATTACACATTTTTTGTCAAGAACTACCTAAATTTTATTTTAAGAGCTATTAAAATTATTTTTTTGTCTATATTTATGTATTATGTGACAAGTTTATGATAAAAAATTGTTAGTAATTTGGACGTTGTATGCTTACGGGACCATTTAGAAACATATTCAATACTTCAGGGATCAAAATGATGTAATTGAAACATTGAAGACCAAAATGAGACAAATCCCATATTTTGGGGACCTCTAGTGCAATTAACCCTTATTTTTAGTATTGATAATAAATTTAATTTTTAATTTTTTAAATACAAAAATATTAATTTAATTTTTATATTCAAGTTTTTGTTACCATATTTGAACAAAATAGTAAGAGAGAGAAAAAATTATGATGATATGTTTAAACTTGACTTTTTTTGGGGTTAAAACTAGATTTTTTAGTAGTTTTAATTTTACTGTTAGTTTTTTTTACTTATTTAAAAAAAATAAATTTTAGGGCCTTTTAATTTTACGACTGAATTAATAGGCTCAATCTATTTAAGTTGAAATATTTTGTTTAGACATGTATTTAAATTTTTTATTTGGACTATTATTGTACACCTATAAATTATGGGTCTTCCTTGAAGTGAGGCCTTAAATTTTTTTTTTTATTGGACTTGTATTTTTATAAGGCCTTTTTGTAGGGCTTAAAATATTTATAGATTTAATTTTTTTATATGAATTATTTATAATATTTAAAAATTTGGGGCCTTTTTTAAAAATGGGGCCTAAAGCCCAAACTTTTTTAATAACACTATTGAGCCGCCCTTAAAACTTCATTTCTTCTTCTACCACGAACTGTTCAAAAAATTGTAGCTTTTCTAACATATCATGTTCCCAGTTTCGGTCTGAATACTTCAGCAAATTTTAGGCATAATGTTTTGATTATTTTTTTCTGTGAATATGCGTATCAGGTGGAGAATTTGAGACCAACATCACCAGATTTACATTGCCAATCCGTGCACTTGCTTTTAATAAATCTGGTACCATGTTGGCAGCTGCTGGTGATGATGAAGGTATTAAACTTATCAATACCATTGATGGTTCAATTGCAAGGGTTCTCAAAGGACATAAAGGATCTATCACTGGCTTAGCTTTTGATCCAAAGAGTGAATACTTGGCTTCAGTTGATTCGTTTGGGACAGTGATATACTGGGAACTCCAATCTGGAAGAACTGTTCATACACTTAAAAGCATAGCTCCTTACACTCTTTCTGACAATTCCACTATGAATGTAGTTAACTGGAGCCCAGATGGGGAGATTCTAGCTGTCCCAGGTTTGAAAAATGATGTGGTGATGCATGATAGAGACACTGCTGAAAAGCTGTTTTCACTTAGAGGTGATCATGTGCAACCTATTTGTTTCATATCTTGGTCACCTAATGGGAAATATATGGCCACTTCTGGTTTAGACAAGCAGGTTCTGATTTGGGATGTTGATCGAAGGCAGGACATTGATCGGCAGAAATTTGAGGCTGCAATATGTTGTATGGCATGGAACCCACATGGGAATGCACTGGCAGTCATTGATGTTATGGGAAAATATGGGGTATGGGAATCGCCTGTACCTACATCAATGAAATCTCCTACTGAAAATATTCCAGGTCTTCAAACAAAAAACAGTAATGGCCTCCTCTTTTTCGATGAAGAGGAAGGAGAGCCTAGTGCATCTGGCAGTTTAAGTGATCTTGGTGAAGATAGTAATGGTGAAGCTGAATTACCTAGCAGGAAAAGACTACGTAAACAGTCTGACTATGATGGAGATTGGGATGGAGAAACTAGCAATGAGCTGAGTTTGCTTCCAAAGATAGAATCCCGCAAAAAAGCTTCTCATGGTCAAAAGGGTAGCCTGGGTAATGGGAAAGAGGGACTAAGAAGCACAATAATATCTGCAGGGCCAAAAATGCAGGAAGCTTTTCAGCCAGGTGCTACTCCTTTGCAGGCAGGAAAAAAGCGATTTCTGTGCTACAATATGCTTGGAAGTATAACCACAATGGAGCATGATGGATACTCCCACATAGAGGTATTTCAGTCTCTTGTTTGGTTTTGGCATTTGAGTTTATGACCTTATACATGATTACACTAACTTTGAAGCAAAACTTAAAGAAGAGCCCTTTCTGGATGATGGAAAAAAAAAAAAAGAATTAGAGTAGTCTTGTAAGACAACTTACATCCTGTTATGTAACTTCAAAACAAATTTTATGCCTACTAAATATGGTTCGATAACCTAGTTAACCAACTGCCTTTCTATCTAAACACTTATGAGGCAATGGGTATTGAATTAGTGTATCTCACTCACATTAACATCTTGCAAAGAACATACTAACAGATAATTATGACATGGATGCAGATAGATTTTCATGATACTAGCAGCGGCCCACGAGTTCCAGCAATGACTGATTATTTTGGTTTCACCATGGCTTCATTAAATGAAAGCGGAAGTGTCTTTGCAAATCCATGCAAGGGTGAGAAGAACATGAGTACTCTCATGTATCGTCCATTCAGTAGCTGGGCAAATAATAGTGAGGTTAGTTCAATTCAAGGCCGACTCCCATACAAGAAATCATATTTGCATCTGCAAATGAATAACTGCCTATGCTATGTTTCACCATTTTAATTTTTTACTGTGGCTGACTTTGGCTGCACAATGCAAATTTAGTGGTCTATGCGTTTTGAAGAAGAAGAAGTGAGAGCTGTGGCACTTGGTACTGTCTGGGTTGCTGCTGTTACAAGTCTTAATTTTCTACGCATCTTCACTGAGGGTGGATTGCAGGTTTGTCTTATACAAACCACCAGCATCCTGTGCTGTGTTTTTTGCTTAGCTGAATTTGTGGGGATCTTTTCATGCTAACATAAGTTGTGCCTGTGATGATGGTACCGCTTTTGTTAAACGTGCTGGAAGTAATGCTGCTGTTTAATTTTATTTCACTTATTCATCTGGTTACGGAAATACTGTTTGGAATTATGCTAATGAAATTAATGATGATACTGGGCTGGATTTATTTATGTTGCAGAGATATATTTTGTCTCTGGATGGACCAGTGGTGACTACATCAGGATACAAAGATGAACTTGCTGTTGTCACACATGCTTCACCTTCTCTTCCCTCTGCTGAGCAGGTAATATTTGTACTTTCATTTACCAGTCCTCTGAGTGAATAATTGTGGATTTCTTTTTAAGCCTCTGCTAGTACTAAAACTTCAGCATAGCTCCCTTGTTATCAAACTAGCAACAGTAAATTAGCGAGGCCACTGACAGCCTCAAAAGGTGTATTGCTTTCTTTTGCAATTTGGTTTGACAAAAAAGTCCTGTTTTTCCTTTTAAATTCGACGTTATTCCCATTAGGATCTAACTGGTGGCCTACACTCAAAAGATATTTGAATGATATCAGATTGAGCTTAATACCTGTTAGGGTTAGGATGTGTTGGTTACCCAAGTGGTCTGGACCGAACTGTGAAATTTTGTCTGTCCTATTTTGTGTGCATGGCAGACATAGGTTGGCTAGTAGATGAGTTCAGTTTATATATATATCGCATGATTTAACATATGTTGTTTTCTCATGATGTATGCAGATGTTAGAATTTAGAGTATTCAATATTCGTAATGGGATGCAGTCCCTCAGAGGACGACTTCCATTAACTCCTGGTTCATGTCTCACATGGTTTGGTTTCAGCGAAGAAGGGCAATTAAGTTCTTTTGATTCTAAGGTCTTTCACCTCTGACCATGATTCATCTTACAAAATATTTCTGAATATGGCTTTGTAACTTGATTTGATTTTGTTTCTATATTTGTAGGGTGTGTTGAGAGTCTTTACAAATCAATGTGGAGGCAGTTGGCTCCCACTATTCAGGTAGAGTATGCTTCTATATATGATGAATGATTTTTGTATCTTGATATTAAGTCATCTAAGATTTGATCAATAAAATCTACGAATTATGCAGTGCTAGTAAATTAAAGAAATCAGAGGAATACTATTGGGTTGTTGGATTGAACGCAATCAATTTGTTTTGCATTGTATGCAAATCTCCTGATTCATCCCCACAGGTAGCATGGGCTCATTGCTCTGTCTGCTTTGCTGTAATGCCAACCACCCCTTCGTTTATTTTTCTTATTCCTATTTTCTCTCCAGGCCATTCCCAAACCAGTTCTCACTCTATTAGATCTTTCATTTCCTCTTGCATCCTCTGACCTGGGAGCAGATGCCCTTGAAAATGAATTTATATTTAGCAATATGCATCTCTGCCAGGTATATCTTATATACTTAGCCTTTGTGGCTTCTGTAATCTGCTTTATTCATCTTTCTTCGTAGTTGACAGCATAGATGATGTTTAATATCTGAATTATCTAATACGGAAAACCTGACAGATTCAGAAAAGAATTGAAGAAATGGCAGCTGCAGGTGAGGATACTACTTCACTCGATGATGAGGCTTTCAATACAGAAGCAGCTCTTGATAGATGCATCTTGAGGCTCATAGCATCCTGCTGCAATGGTGAGTGAGTTCTTAATTGTAATGGTGACAAAACTGCTAGCATATTGACTATGTTCTACTTTTTCAAACCATCATTTTACTCTCCAGTACAAAACGTAACATATGCTTGCTTGTCATATTTATATCAGCCGATAAGCTTGTGAGAGCTACCGAACTTGTGAAACTTCTTTCGGTGGCAAAATCAGTGAAAGGAGCGATTAAGCTTGTTACTGCCCTAAAACTACCGAATTTGGCAGAGCGATTCAATACCATATTGGAAGTAAGTCGATCTCCAAACAAAGGCTTGTGATCTCTTGTCCGAGTCATTTAGATTGGAAGTTTCCCGCTTTGTTATGGATAGATGGTAAGTCATACATTCTCCATTCTTGCAGGAAAGGTTGCTCAGTGAGACCATGGAAAATACAGTCCCCCCTCACACAAACTTGAACAGTGATACTAATATCAAAAATGATGTTGCAGCCACCAAGACTTTTACTTCACCAGAAAGTGCTAGACCATCCGAACCTGTTATTCCACTGCCATCACAGAAGTTTTCTTATTCCTATGCAAAGAAAGAGAAGTTGGAAGATCTTGCTAAAGCTGGAAAAGCAAAAACCGAACAAAAACAAAATGGAAAATTGGAGAATGCAGGGGAAGTGAAAAATGTAGGAGAGATCAAGGTGAGGGAGGTGAATCAGGTACAATCTCATCGTCCATTGAATCCTTTTGCAAAATCATCAAATAACCAAGAAAAATCCTCGTTATTGGATTCTCTAAAGAAGATGAAGAAGATTGACAGCACTGGTTAAAGATAAGAGAGGATGATTGTATCTCCTGGGAAAAATAACCCATCAGCAAGCCCAGAAAAAAAGCCTTTTAAAAAAAAAAAAAAAAACAAAATCTTATGTTTTTTCAAATTGGTAAGTATGTGTCTTATTCAATATTTCAATTTATAACCCGTCAATCATCTTTGATTTGATCGAGCTGTTATATAGAAGGATCCAACCACATGGATGGACTAACTAACTTGGTTTTACCTAATTATTCATACTTAGCTCTCTTTATAACTCGTCGATCGAAATCGGTTGGTCAATGTAATTTAATAATTATTAAATTTATATACACTATAGTGATGCGATGTTATCGTTACACTTAATATTGACTTGATGCTATGATAGTGTTTATTATTCGGTGGTAATAGTGATGCATGTATTGTATTTAGATTATTAATGCAATTTATTTACCCTTGCTTGCCCCCCAAAAAAAAAAAAAATTCGGATAAGTTGAAATGCCTCACTTTCGAACAAGAGATCACGATGTTTTCATTCTTGCTGATTGGTGTCTTATCCTTTGTACCACTTTGTTTATGCAACCACGATAGTCTTGATTCACGTTCTATATTAGTTATGATTACATTATTGAGTTTGGTATTGTATTAAACTTTATATATAAAAAATGAGAGTTGGTTATACATCATTTAAGATTAAGTGATGACTCAAGCGACTTAAGAGAGTCACGTTACTGCTTTAGAAAAAGTTGGGATCGACTTAAAATATTTTGGTCGGTTCTAAATATTAAGTATTATCTTAAAGAGTGTTTAAATCAAATCTTAAATCAATGCTGCATCGATGCCACTGGCCTGAGTTACCTTAAAAAAGTTGGTTTAGTTATAAATGGTACTTTAAAATATGGATCAAATTTTAATTTGTACTATTGAAGATTAAAAATTTTAATTTAGACTCTTAAAGATTGAAATTTGTATTAATGCATTAGTTTGCTGTCTAAAATTAAATAGATAAATTATATTTAGATTTTTTCATGTTTGTCATTTAATTATTTGAACCTCTCAAATTTAGAATATTATTCCAACACCTCCCAACGTTTGTATACGTGTAATGCATAATTTTTTATTGTTAATATAACTATTAAAAATTATGATTTCATCCTAATAAAAAATTATAATTTTATATTATTTTTTATTTTGTTGGTCCGTTATGCTTTAAAGTTCAAAATTAAGCTTATAATTTAAATGTCTAATATAATGCAAATATTTATATAATGTTCTTTATATCCAATGCAATACATTACTTAAACAAAATTATTGGAGGAATATTTTTAGTTATATTTGGTTTTTCAAGAAATGCAAGTTTAATATTTTAAATTTGAGGAGTCTAAGTGATCATATGATAAGTATAAGGGGATGTAATTATAATTTATTCATTTAATTTTAGACTAATGGCCGTTAGTTTGAGGTGCGCATTGGTACAAATTAAAAAAAATTTATCTTTGAGGATATAAATTGAAATTTAAACAATTTTTTGAGATACAATTTGAGATTAACCAAAAAAAAAAATTGCAATCTTCCTAGACCACAATTCCTTTATTTAACCGATATCAAAGCATCTAAACCGAATACCGTTGCTCTAACCTACTCATTAATGTGACGGGCCGGGCCAGTTGGTAGAGAATCCATTTCACTTGGAACTACTCCATGAAGAAAACTTCAATCCACATACCCAAAAAAATCACAAAAAGGTGAAAATAATTCCGGGCCATGGACTGGTTTAACCTGCCAAGTTTAAAATAAATTAAAATTTTACTCCATTAAAGACCCACTTAGAGCTACTTCATGTTGCTCTTGTTTTTCAATAACACTATTTATATTAAATTTGATGGGCTAGGTCCAAGGGCCTAATCCATATTATAAGCCCGACTTAAATTAATGATCCAATCCCAAGAGATTTAGCAAAGTCCAGTCCAAATTGCACCACCAAGGGAACATCTTGGAACCTATCCCACACGGCCTGGAGAGAGTCAACCTTTCCACATACCTTGACCAAGTCCTTTGGAATGCATCATAATTTCCTTGCCGGTTGAGGAGAGGAGAGGTCGCCAAGGAGAGGAAAAGTCGCCAAAAGATTCAATTACTATTAAACGACCCTAATTATGACCGTCAGACTAGCTATCCAATTACTACGCATAAAACTATAAATTGTAAGCTTCCCCAACACTTGGGGGGCATCTGAAAAAGAGTTAAGCTCATCTCTTCTCTCTGTTGTAATCCTTGCTCTCCTTACACCTCTGAGTTAATAAAGTTTTCGACGAACCTAGCCATCGAAAGTGAATGTAGATCTTGTTGACCAAACCACTATAAACCTTGTTTCCTCTTTTCCTTTATTTATTTTATTGCATTTTATACTATTACTTGACTAGTGGTGTGCAAACTAATTTGTGCATCATCAGTTTGACGCCGTTTGTGGAAAACTATAGAATTCTCACCTAACCATTTTCCTTTGCTAAATCAAAGTCAATCACCACAAGAACTATGAGTCAGCAGGAAGACAGTCTACTAGAGGAGGAGGTTGCTCCTCCACCTCCTCCACCTGTTAATCCCGTCCCAAATGCACAACAGATATTGGTCACGATGCAGTAACTCATAGCCCAAAACCAGCAGATCCTACAATTGATGCTCGGACAACAAGGAGGAGCACAGCCTGGACCTCAAGCCAGGGGAGCTCCACTCTCTGGTCATCAAGGAGCTTCTCACCTAGGCGCTCCCCACCTAGGCGCCCCCACCTTTGGGAGTTCCCTTGGGTGCCCTACATAGGGGGTCGCATCGTGAGGGACCTCTTCCTCTAGCACCTGCTCATGCTCCCCATGGTGGAGACCCTCCTCTCCTAGAGGATGAGGGGGACAACCAAAGCATGGAGCACAGGAGCCATATCCATGATAATTCCAGAGGACCTCCTCCCAATCAGTGGGACGAAAAAATTAAGGAGGTTCAAAATCAGTTAGATATGTCTTCAACATCATGAAGGCACAAGGCCCCGAGACAGTGAATTACCTTGTAAGTCGAACCAACACACATTTCAAACCCGATGTGGCGAACTACCCACTCCCTCAAAAATTCAAGATGTCATCCGTTGAGACCTTTGACGGTACGAAAGATTCTCTAGACTACCTTGAAACTTTTAAAACTTTGATGCAACTACACAACGTCCCCAACGAAATCATGTGCAAAGCATTCCCAACCACCTTGAAGGGGTCCGCTCGGCAATGATTTGTCAAACTCTCTTCAGCCTCTATTGGCACATTTGTTGAACTGAGCAGGTCTTTTGTGTCACACTTCATTGGAGGACGCTGCCACCAGAAGCTTGTTACACACCTGCTCAGCATAAAACAGGAATGAGACGAGAGCCTAAGGAGCTACCTCACTCGTTTTAACGAGGAGGTCCTTCAGGTTGAGGAGCCTGATGATAAGGTTAGCATGATCGCCTTCCTTGGAGGCCTTCGGTAGTCAAGCTTCCTTTTCTTGGTGATGAAACGCCCACCGAAGATCATGCTAGAACTACTAGCAAAGGCTCAAAAATATATGAATGCTGAAGACATTACAAGAGCTAGGAGAGGTGAGTCATCCAGAGCTGGGGAAAAAAGAAAGGAAAGAGACAAGGATGATAAGAAGGAAAATAATAACAAGCGCAACAGCCGGACGGAGAGGGTACCTGTCAAAGATCGACTCGGTCCTATTCCCCAGAGAGATCAACAGGCCTTCACTCCCCTCAATGTAGCTGTCAGACACATCTTATTGCAGATTCAGGATGACCCCACAATAAAGTGGCCTGGGAGGATGAAGTTTCCCCCAAATCGCAAGAACCAAAACAAGTATTGTCACTTTCATCGCGACCATGGCCATGACACCAATGATTGTTATGACCTCAAAAGACAGATTGAAGAGCTCATCCAACGAGGTCACCTACGCCAACATGTTGCCGGTAGAGGGCAGGTGCCAACACCACCCTGTAATCAGGAAAACCAACAGCCCGTCGGGGAGATTTACACCATCTCCGGAGGGCTAGCAGGGGGAGGAGAATCCCTCTCTGCTACGAAGGCTCATGCCATGAGAGCTAGGCACCCCGAGAAATTGCGCCTATCCAAGACTCTCAAGCTTGGCAATAGTGAAGTCGTATCCTTTTCAGACAAGGATTTGGAAGGAATCCAGCACCCCATGATGATCCTTTGGTGCTCTCCATGACTGTGACCAACTTCCAAGTAAAAAGGATTCTCGTGGACAGCGGTAGCTCAACAGATATCTTGTTCGCAGAGGCTTATAACAAGCTCAACTAAGGCAGGGAGAGGCTGCAACCTATCAGGTCTCCCCTCATTGGGTTCTCGGGAGAAAAATTGTATCCCCTAGGGTCCATCACCTTACCTGTCACTGTTGGAGTAGCACCTCGAAGCTCCACGATCATGGTCAATTTCTTGGTGATAGGATTTCCTTCAGCCTACAACATCATTTTAGGGTGACCTGCTCTCAACGCCTTAAGAGCTGTGCCCTCCACCTACCATCCCCTTCTCCGTTTGCCCACCTCTAACGGAGTCGGAGAGGTCCGAGGGAACTAAGTAGTTGCGAGAGAATGCTACGTCTCCTCCATGAGGACGAGAAAGCCGCAGGAAGTGCTTCAAGTAGAGGTCCTCGACCCAAGGGATGACGCCACCATAGAAAGAGGAGAGCCCGTCGAGAAGCTCACCCCAATGGTCTTAAATGAGGAACATCCAGATAAAAAGGTGTACATCGGTTCTTCCCTTTCTAAAGATTTGGTCCACCAGTTAATAGACTTTTTGAGGCTCAACATGGACGTTTTTGCGTGGTCACATGCAGACTTCGAGGGCATTGACCCTGAGGTCGCCATACATCGCCTCAATGTCAACCCTTGCCACAAGCCGGTTCGCCAAAAGTTAAGGGGCACCTCCACTGAAAGGGCCCAAGCAATGGAAAAAGAGGAAGAAAAGTTAATAGAGAATGGGGTGGCTAGAGAAGTAGCCTATCCTGAGTGGGTCTCCAATGTGGTGATGGTAACTAAGGCTAATGGGAAGTGACGCATCTGCGTCGACTTTACTGAGCTTAACAAGGCATGTCCAAAGGATAGTTACCCACTACCATGAATAGACCTCCTCATTGACGCCACCGTAGGACATGAATTGCTCACTTTCCTAGATGCATATTATGGGTATAACCTGATCAGCATGCATCCCCCAGACCAGGAGAAGACATCGTTCATCACTCCAAGGGGGACCTACTGCTATAGGGTTATGTCATTCGGGTTAAAAAATGCAGGAGCAACTTATCAACAATTGATAAACAAGATGTTCCAAACGCAGATCGAGAAAACAATGGA